GTCGGGCCGGCCAAATGCTTGACATTCCGACACGTGTGCGATTTCTTGGATGTGACGGGGCTTCGTCCAACTCGTCCGCGACAATACCGCTTTACACGCTGACCAATGTAAAATATAGTAAAGGTCGCACTAGGGCGACCCGCGTTTGTGACACAAATTCCCAAACCTGAAGGCACACGAATGTTGTCAGCACATCCGTGGGCCACTGCCGGGGTACGGTAAGTGCATTAATTATAACTTACATTTGAAATAGCACCCAGCATTATAGCTACCGTCATACACTGGATATAAGCGCCACCCTCGGATAAGCGCCTGGCGCTTTTAATTGGCGTGTGGCGCTTATATCCGATGCTCGATTATAAGCGCACACCTAAAAGGCTTACGGATTATAACCGCATACCTGTGCCTTACATTTTATAACTGCCACCATGATGTTTTTTTTAATTTATTTATTTTTAGTTTAAGACATTTTACACAATTAATCCACTAAAACATCATCCGAGCTAATCTACAACTAGATAATCTACTCCTACCTACGAGCCTCACACAGGCTTAACCATTTTAGGCACATCTACGGTACCCTACTCTAATCATCAGCTGCAGTGGGGTCATCTGGGTCGGCCTCAGAGTCCGACTCAGGTTCCTCTACGTTGTTGCAGAAGAAACCGTCTGCTGTCTGTTGTTTTATCATCCATGTCGACCTCATCGCCGTCGAGCTCGTCTCGCCTGTGTTGCAAGCAGAGCTTGTCCTGTAACCCATCCAGGGCGTTGCTGATGCCGCAGGTGAGGAACGCCCGTTGAATGAGCTCCTTGGGCACGGACTTCCAGGCCGCCGAGATCCACTTGAGCGTCAGCTCGACAGGAGGCTTCTTGATGTTGCCTGCCACGCAAATCCAAAAACCGAGTCAGCACGGGTTAAAGAAAAAAAAAAACATAAACAGAAAGGCTGCACCTCTCACCTTTCTTCGCCAAGGTGTCGACCCCCTCACGCTCAAACCACTCCTGGTAGAGCTGGCGAACGGCGGCCTTGAAGGAGCGGTTAACCGCGACGTCGAGGGGTTGAATCTCAGAGGTGCAACCAGCATGGACAACCGCAGGGACCAGGTTCAGCTCGCCAAACTTCTTCTTCACCTCCGGGGTTAGGTGCCCGCGGTACGAATCGAGGACGAGCAGAGCTTTGCGGGGGCGGACTCCGAACTTGGGGTTGATGTACGGCTTCACCGCCCCATCCAGCCACTCGATGACACCGTCCGCGTCCATCCAACCGTTGGGATGGACCCCCACGTGGATATCTGCACAGCAACAAAACCACGATGTTAGTTGAATTTTTTAACTGACATCAACAGGCCACCGCGTAATCGACGTGTGGTGCATACCTGAAGGGAAATCTCCTTTGGGGACGGTCTTCCGTTTGAAGAAGACCCACAGCTTCAACTTCTCCCCGCTGGCGGTGCAGGCGAGCATCACTGTAACCCGCTCTTTCTGGTAGCCGCCACTGCGGACGGGCACAAAGCGCGAGCCAACCTCTTCAACGGTGCGCTTGGATGGCATCTCGAGCCAGGGGCATCTGGTCCGCGTTTAGAATCCACGGCAGGTCGATCTTGTACTGGCGGCGGGAGTGACGCACGTACGTCCAGAAGTTCTTGACATCAGCCTCGCAGTCTGGGACACGGGATGGGAGAAACAGAAAGCAAAAACACAGAGTGAGAGCCGTGAATAGACGTGAACAGACAAACAACAATACCACCAAATAACAACTCACTGGACGAGAGCTTTTGGCCGACCAAGGTCTTCGCTCTGGTCGTCAGGTTCCAGCGGCGGCGAAATCGCTGAGTCCACCGCTGAGAGCCGGCCCACTTTTCACCTGGGTGTAACTCTTTCATCACCTCGTGCGACCACTTCTGCAGTCGTGCGATCGAGACGGCGAGGCACTTCTTGCGGTGGGCGAGAAACCTCCGGTACACCTCCGCTTCCATGTCGCGATACCACGAGCTCCTTCCGCGGCCGTGCAGGCGACATCGTGCACCGTGCGCGCCCTCAAGCTCAGCCTTGCGGTTCTTCCACTCCGTGAGGCACCTTCGGGAGATGCCGGATTCGCGAGACATGCGCCGCACACTCATCTCTCCGGCTTCGAGCTACAAAATCCATTGCAGCTTCTCCAGCGAGGTGTACGAATTGCGCTTGTGAGCTGTCGGCTTGTGCCTGGGGGAGGGAGGACGGGCATCACGATTATCACGAGATGGGTGGGGCCTTTTTTTATTCAGAGGTGGAAAGGAGGGAATTGGAAGGTGCTCGGGGAGACCGTCAGCAGCCCAGAACTCCATGTCGTCTTCGGCACCGGTAGCAGATTCGTCCAGCGGGCAATCAGCCGGCACTCCCCAACGTGGCTCCCGTGCGGAGGAAGATCCTTCGCCGTCGCTGCGTTCAGGCTCGGACAGGAAGGCGTCGAACGCCGAGTAGCCAGGGGGGAGGAGAAGCTGCAGAACCCCCTGTCGCGGAACACCAACAGCAGGCGGGTCAGGAGGGGATGGAGGAACGGGAGGTATAGGAGGCGCCGGGGGAGCAGGAGGGGTAGGAGGCGTAGGAGGAGTGGGAGGAACGGGAGGCACTACTGGTTGTGATGGAGGGACGGGCGCATGGCGCGTCTGCCATTGAGAGTAGTCACGGGTGTCTCTGCGGGTATTTTCTCGAGCAGCAGGTTGGCGGCGGAACAAGAAATGCGTGCCTGGAAGGCCCGCCATGGCCACGGCAGGCCAAACGAACGAAGAAAACTGAACCAAAAGTTGAGAATGAGGGCCGTATGAAGCCCTCGCCCGAGACCCCTTCAGTTTCGCGGCACGGCCTCCTCTGCGGGGAAAGTGTGGCCACAGTCAAGATTCCCCGCAGAGGAGCTGAGCTGGGCAGCTCTTTGCCTCGGTGGCAGGGTATCTTGCTGTTGATGGGCACGCCGTGGCTGAACCACGACGTGCCCACGATCGCATGCAACCCTGATTGGGCCGCTGTGATGCGAAGTACGTGTGCGCTGGCATGGGCTAGGTTCACGTTCGATGAACCTGGCCTGGCCAACAAGGCGTGGAAGGCGTGATGCCACACCTTGTTGGCCGTTTCACGCGCAAAGCACGCACAGTTCCGAACGTTCTCGACTCAGGTGAATCCGCCTTTGAGAGTGCTTCGATTTGGTATATTTAAAAACAAATTTCATTTTTGACATATCATAAACGCCGGCGCTTATAAATTTACTATATTATAAGCCCACCCCCTAAAAAAAACATGTTTTATTAGTGCCCCCCATGGGGGTATATCCGGGGTATGACGGTACTACGGTACAACACGTGAGCACAACACGTGAGCGACTCAACAGCTCTGTTGTGTCACATCACATTATCCAAGCTCCCAATGCCGGGACTTGGTTGCTCCACTTGCTAAACATGAAGGTCTTTCTTGCTTAGTGAACTCCTCTTAACTCGGCACTATGAAACCTCCTTGGGTCGCAGTGCGGGCTAGAGGGAATGCGAGGAGGAAGGAGGGATGGAACTTTTAGATAAAGAGAGGAGGGAGGGAGAGGAGGAGGAAGGGAGTGCGGTGGAGCGATGGGGAGCAGCGAGGGGGAAGAGGAAGCGGCTGGTGTAGGCTTGTGTCCACTGAAGGGGTGGGGAGGGGTATGAGGGAGGAAGTAGTGGAAAGTGAGTGATGGAGAGCGGTTGAGTGAGAGTGTGAGTGTGAGAGAGTGGGGAGAGCAGTGAGGTGAGAACAAGGAGATGGGAGCAGCGATGGAAGATGGAGAGGGTGATGAGGGCTGGCAGACATGATAAGAAAGGGGGGGTATGGAGGGATGGAGAAGGAACAACAAGTGCTAAGGGTGAAGAAGAATGACACAGTCAGGAGAGGGATAGTAGTGAGTGGGAGCATGCGCATGCAAGCAGAGACGATGGGAGAGAGAAGTATGGGCTGTTGGAGAAGTATGGGCTGTTGGAGAAGTATGGGCTGTTGGAGAAGTATGGGCTGTTGGAGAAGTATGGGCTGTTGGAGAAGTATGGGCTGTTGGAGAAGTATGGGCTGTTGGAGAAGTATGGGCTGTTGGAGAAGTATGGGCTGTTGGTAAGGCTGTGCAAGAATATTCGGTATTCGAGAATTATTCGATATTCGTTCGAATACCTGAATTCGAGAGAATAAGAAATGGCCGTGTATTCGTAAATTTTCGCATCATGAGTATTCGTGGATGTAGAATATTCGGCTAGCGGATATTCGGGGTATTCGTTACTATTCGGTATTCTACCATTAACACCCTCCTCCCCCCCCCTCCCTCCCCTCCTTCCCCACATGCGGCTATCATCTCTGGCAATCTGTCAATAAGTGGCCTCATGAAAACCGTGCTCAAAAGCCTAGCAAGATAGTTGCTGGAACGGGTTTAGGGAAGGTCCTGATGCGGGATTGAGTTATGGTGTTGATATTATAAAGTGCATTGTATCACCCTGTGTCGAACATGCATTAGCCGTTCGACACTGGCTATACAGAATATATTATTACTCAACGCTTATTCGTATTCGATTCGGATTCGGCAGTATTCGAATCGTATTCATATTCGGTTTTTGGTAAGTATTCGAATCGTATTCGTATTCGGTTTTGGGCCACTATTCGGTCAAATAAGAAACCACCCAGTATTCAGAGAATATACAGGAAAAATATTCGTATTCGTATTCGTATTCGTTTGTACAGGCTTAGCTGTTGGAGAAGTATGGGCTGTTGGAGAAGTATGGGCTGTTGGAGAAGTATGGGCTGTTGGAGAAGCATGGGCTGTTGGAGAAGGCTTGCTCCCCATGTGATGTGCAGAGCAGAGCTCCAACAGCCCTCGAGCATCCAGCAGCGGCAGCACAAGAGCCTCACCTGCTCACCAAACAGCTGCCCCAGCATGTTCACAGCGGGGTCGTGGCGCTTGAAGCAATCATCAGCACGCATGTGATGTGCAGCAACAGGAGCACAGACACCCTCACCTCCTCATCCTAGCAGGAGCACAGAACACGCCTCACCTGCTCTCCGAACAGCTGCCCCAGCATGTTCACGGCAGGGTCGTGGCGCTCAAAGTACCCATCAAACGCCCTCTGCCCCTCCGCTGCCTCGCAAATATCAGCCTCTGCTGCTGCTGGTGCTGACCGCCCTGCTGCCTCCCCATGGCATGCCATGCATGCGTCGTGGTAGGCTGCGAGGTACTCGGTGAGGAGCTGCCACACACTGCCGCTGGGGGGCTGGTGGGGTTAGATGGAGGGAGGGCGGGTGGAGGGAGGAAAGGAAGGAGGGAGAGAGGTAACGACTATGGAGCGCCGTGCAGGCAACATGGTAGGCTGCGAGGTACTCACTGCAGAGCTGCCACACACTGCCGCTGGGGGGCTGGTGTGATGGGTCATGGGAGGGAGGCAGAGGAGGATGGAGGGTAAGGAAAGAGAGAGGGGGAGTTGAGGGAAAACGAGGGGCCAACATGTAGGCATCAGGGTAGGCCGTAGGCTGTAGGCTGTAGGCTGTAGCCGTGAGGTACTTGGTGCAGAGCTGCCACACACTGCTGGTGGGTGGCTGGTGTGATGATGGGAGACGGGGGGGAGGGAGAGAGGAGGATGACAGGGAAGGAGGGAGAGAGGCAGTGACTATGGCTCTCTCCCTACCCCCCCATGGCATTGTCTCACCTGGCCTGCGAGTGGTAGAGCAGCAGATGGGGGCGAGACGAAGCAAGCCAGAGGGTTCTGCACTGTATCCAGCCACACCCGCACAAACAGCAATGCAGCACAAACAGCAATGCAGCACAAACAGCAATGCAGCACAAACAGCAATGCAGCACACACAGCAATGCAGCACACACAGCAATGCAGCACACACAGCAATGCAGCACACACAGCAATGCAGCACACACAGCAATGCAGCACACACAGCAATGCAGCGCCTCACCTGCAGGTTGGCATCGTCCCACCCGTCCTGTGAGCAGCAGGTGGGGCGAGACGAAGCGAGGGAAGCAGAGGGTAGCAATACCCAGGCACACACAGACACAGCGCAACTGGGTCTCACTCACTCACCTGCAGGTTGGCATCGGCCCAGCCGTCCTGAGAGCGGTAGAGCAGCAGGTGCGGCGAGAAGAAGTGCGAGTCGGAGGCGAAGAAGCGAGCGGTCATGGGCGTCAGCAGGTGGGCGTGCTGCTGGCGAATGGTGTTCAGACGGGCAGTCACTGCAGGCTGCAGAGGGGGGAGCACGGAAGAGAGGGAGGTGCATGAGAGGGATTTATTGGAGCAAGTGTGAGTCGGAGGCGAAGACACGAGCGGTCATGGGCGTCAGCAGGTGGGCGTGAGCAGGTGGGCGTGCTGCTGGCGAATGGTGCTCAGACGGGCAGTCACTGATGCCTGCACGTGGGGGTGTGACATGGAGTAGGATAGGATGCGACAAGCAGGGATTTGAAAAGGAATGGTTGCATTGCAGGTGGGCGTGCTGTTGGCGGATCATGCTCAGACGTGTAGTCACTGCAGGCTGCAAAGCGGGGAGCATGCTGTACAAAAAGGTGAATGAGGGAGATTTACTGTACGAGTCGAGCTGGTGGAAATGAAGTGAAAAAGTGGCCCACAGGCATAGGCTCACAGGCTCACAGGCTCACAGGCTCACAGGCTCACAGGCTCACAGGCTCACAGGCTCACAGGCTCACAGGCTCACAGGCTCACAGGCTCACAGGCTCACAGGCTCACAGGCTCACAGGCTCACAGGCTCACAGGCTCACAGGCTCACAGACTCACAGGCTCACAGACTCACAAACTCACAGGCTCACAGACTCACAGGCTCATGGGCTCATGGGCTCACCGGGAGGAGGTTCCCCTGGGTGAGTCGGTGTAGTTGTTGGGGCGACGTGGGGTGGAGGTCGATGAAGGCGAGCAGGCGGGAGGAGTTGAAACACAGCAGCTCCACTGCCAGCAGAGGCAGGTCGCACCTGGGGGAGGTGTGGAGGGGGGGGAGGTGGTGGAGGGGGGGGAGGTGGTGGAACGGGGGGAGGTGGTGGAGGGCAATGCAGAGGGCACGGCATGAGAGGGACAGGAAGGATGGAGTTGAACGACCGCAGCCCCACTGCCAGCAACAGGGGCAGCCCCACTGCCAGCAACTGGGGCAGCCCCACTGCCAGCAACTGGGGCAGCCCCACTGCCAGCAACTGGGGCAGCCCCACTGCCAGCAACAGGGGCAGCCCCACTGCCAGCAACAGGGGCAGCCCCACTGCCAGCAACTGGGGCAGCCCCACTGCCAGCAACAGGGGCAGCCCCACTACCAGCAACAGGGGCAGCCCCACTGCCAGCAACAGGGGCAGCCCCACTGCCAGCAACTGGGGCAGCCCCACTGCCAGCAACTGGGGCAGCCCCACTGCCAGCAACTGGGGCAGCCCCACTGCCAGCAACAGGGGCAGCCCCACTGCCAGCAACTGGGGCAGCCCCACTGCCAGCAACAGGGGCAGCCCCACTGCCAGCAACTGGGGCAGCCCCACTGCCAGCAACTGGGGCAGCCCCACTGCCAGCAACTGGGGCAGCCCCACTGCCAGCAACTGGGGCAGCCCCACTGCCAGCAACAGGGGCAGCCCCACTGCCAGCAACTGGGGCAGCCCCACTGCCAGCAACAGGGGCAGCCCCACTGCCAGCAACAGGGGCAGCCCCACTGCCAGCAACAGGGGCAGCCCCACTGCCAGCAACTGGGGCAGCCCCACTGCCAGCAACTGGGGCAGCCCCACTGCCAGCAACTGGGGCAGCCCCACTGCCAGCAACAGGGGCAGCCCCACTGCCAGCAACTGGGGCAGCCCCACTGCCAGCAACAGGGGCAGCCCCACTGCCAGCAACTGGGGCAGCCCCACTGCCAGCAACTGGGGCAGCCCCACTGCCAGCAACTGGGGCAGCCCCACTGCCAGCAACTGGGGCAGCCCCACTGCCAGCAACAGGGGCAGCCCCACTGCCAGCAACTGGGGCAGCCCCACTGCCAGCAACAGGGGCAGCCCCACTGCCAGCAACAGGGGCAGCCCCACTGCCAGCAACAGGGGCAGCCCCACTGCCAGCAACTGGGGCAGCCCCACTGCCAGCAACAGGGGCAGCCCCACTGCCAGCAACTGGGGCAGCCCCACTGCCAGCAACTGGGGCAGCCCCACTGCCAGCAACTGGGGGAGGCGTGGAAAGGGGGGAGGTGAGGGGAGAGATGCGGCACAGGCAATGCGATGAGGACATGAGCGAGTGACAGCACACGGAGGGGGGCTGACGCACATCACAGCAGCAGGGCGGGAGGGAGAAAGCAGGCAGCATGTGGAGCGCACGAGGGAAAGCAGGCAGCATGTGGAGCGCACGAGGGAAAGCAGGCAGCATGTGGAGCGCACGAGGGAAAGCAGGCAGCATGTGGAGCGCACGAGGGAAGGAGACGAAGCGGAGGAGAGCAGCACGACTGCAGGCAGGGCGAGGCGGCGACTGAGGAGGTGCAAGTGAGAGGAGGGCCAAGGGAGTGACGGGCAGAGAGAGCGCGTGAGGCAGAGAGGGTGTGAGGCAGAGAGGGTGTGAGGCAGAGAGGGTGTGAGGCAGAGAGGGTGTGAGGCAGAGAGGGTGTGAGGCAGAGAGGGTGTGAGGCAGAGAGGGTGTGAGGCAGAGAGGGTGTGAGGCAGAGAGGGTGTGAGGCAGAGGAGCGGGCAGCACACACCTCAAGCGCGCACCTAAACCAGGGGGAAGTGAGAGGAGGGAGCAGGCAGCACACACCTGGAGTGCGGGTAGGTGAGAGCCGTGAGAGCGTGCACGTTGGCCCCTTCGTCCCCACCCCACAGAACAGAAGCTTGGGATGACAGGGAGACGCGTGTCAAGCGCGGGTGATGCGCACCTGAAGCGCGGGTGATGCGCACCTGAAGCGCGGGTGATGCGCACCTGAAGCGCGGGTGATGCGCACCTGAAGCGCGGGTGATGCGCACCTGAAGCGCGGGTGATGCGCACCTGAAGCGCGGGTGATGCGCACCTGAAGCGCGGGTGATGCGCACCTGAAGCAAGGGTGATGCGCACCTGAAGCAAGGGTGATGCGCACCTGAAGCAAGGGTGATGCGCACCTGAAGCGCGGGTGATGCGCACCTGAAGCGCGGGTGATGCGCACCTGAAGCGCGGGTGATGCGCACCTGAAGCAAGGGTGATGCGCACCTGAAGCAAGGGTAATGCGCACCTGAAGCGCGGGTGATGCGCACCTGAAGCAAGGGTGATGCGCACCTGAAGCGCGGGTAGCAGAGGGCGGTGAGCGCCTGCACCTTGGTCCCATAGTCCACATACGACACCCGCACCCGCCGCAGCACTGCCGTCTGCACCAACCAGTTCCTCACACGTGGCCTCTCCTCCCCCCCTCCCCGCGCACCCCCCTCCCCCTGCTCACCATCCCCCCTTTCCCGCTCCCCCTCCCCTCTCCCTCCACCACTACCTCCTTCCCCACCTCTCCTCCCGCCGCCCCTCCCCCCTCCCCGCCTGCTCGCGCCCCTCCCCGCGCCCTCCCTGAAAGCCAGGTGAGGGGGAAGCGGCAGGGGCTTAAAGCCCGGCTGCTGCTGCAGCGCGCGCCAAAGGAGGCGCAGGTGGGGGGCGAAGGGCAGAGAGGGGTCAATGGGGGAGTCCGCCAGCCCATGGAGGTCCAGCGGAGGGGGCTCGTGTGGCGAAATGCGCGCATGCGAACGTTCAGATGTTGGGACGGCTGCTGAGCTTGAAACGGCCTCGTCGGTGGTGCATGATGCTTCGACTGCCGATGCTGCTGCTGATGCTGCTGCGTCCATACCTGCGTCCGTACCGGCGTCTCTGGTTCTCTGCTGCGCCGCTGGTGTTGTGGTGCTGCGGCGACTAGAAGCAGTCGTCTGGCCGTCGCCAGACATGCGCGGCACTCCACAAAACCGGTTGCGCGATTCCTGTCGCACATGCGACTGGCTGTGCGATCGCGTGCGACGCTGTCGCTGTGGTACATTGCTCGCCTGATGGGTGTACCATGGCGACGACGAGGGTGTAGCTGTACGCGCTATAAGATGGAACGACGTGGACGCCATGCCGTTGTAATTCGGTACCAACGGCCGCGCGGGAATAATCCGCAGTCGGCCGCGCGGCACGGCCGTGCGGTTTGACGGAGCGGGGTATAGAGCAACGTGGATTGCCGCACGGTAATCCGCAGCTCGTTAGAGAGGTGAGCAGGTGAGGAAAGTATATATATTAATCGTAAAGCTGATGCCTAAGCGCCAAAACAAGCCCGTGATTCAGACGAGGGGACACCATGTTGCGAGTCTCACTGAAAGCTGTATTCCCCCCGTCCTGCGCTCGTATGTCGCTGGTGTGAGTGAACTGCAGAGCAACACCCCTTCATGAGTGCTTTTCAGCATTTGTTACTGCTCACCGACTTTTACCCACCTGCACCGTACTGTAACAGTTTTTTTCCATCCAAGTTGTGTAATTAGGATTCTGAGCTGGCGAACATCCTGGGTGTTCTTTACTTTGAAATACCTCTAGTGTTACGAAAACGTCCAAGTTTCACATTTTCGTAACAGAATCAACAGCGAAACCGTCGTATCTTTTTAACGAAGTACTGCGATTCTGTGTTAAAACCATGGCTTTACGAACATTAGCGACATCGCGATTCTTCTGTTTGATCCCTGAACTCTGTTGCCTTTCCAACTTTAATCTTGAAGGTTTGTATAAACACGCCCCGCTTTCTCGAAGTTTGTTTCATTTTTTGCAGGGGGCTGCCAGAATGAGCCCAGGGAATCTCCTCGAGCTTGGTGGGAGCGAGTCGCGCAAAGCCCAAGGCCATGAGTCATCATCATACAGCACAGCACAGCACAGCACAGCTCATCGCTTTGGTTCCCGTGTTTTTTTTAAGAGCACGGTGTGAACGAGGCGTGCATTACGGTCTGTTGCCGCGGATGACTCTACAAAATGTGGAACGCCACATCCCATGCCCAAATGTGGGTTTCCCCCATCCTTGCGCACTGTCCATTGCACGAGCAATGGCTGAGGTCACTAGAAACAGTGTTTACGAGGGTTAGGGCGCGTGCGTTCTTGCCGAACCTGTCAAAGTTCGAACTCAAACCGTTTTGCATCGTGACGAAACGTTCCTAATTGTATTATACCGTGGCGAACCGTTATGAAAGTTCGAACTTTCAGTCAGGTTCGGCAAGAACACACGCGCCCTTAGCAGTGCAGAACCAATGCTGAAAAATTGGTGAACAATGCACCCCCTTCCCCATTGTCTCTGCAGCCGCCAGCAGGTTCGCACCCAACTCGCCCCGCACGTGCCAAATTGGATTGGTACAGCGTTTTTACTTCGGTTGTGTTGGATGTACGGTGGTTTCGAGCTTGCGCGAAACTAAAAACAGAATTCAGGTCGAAGGAAATTTTGTGGCGTTATAACAGAGCAGACTATAGCGACATTTTTTGTCAGATAAGGTTTTGCTGACGTGTCAGGAAACCGCGTCACTTGTGAAGGTGCGTTGTCACGATCTGGTGTGACAGCACGGATGGGATTTGGACTAGTCTGGGCGAACTGAAGCTCACAAGGTAGGGTTTCCAATTTTTTTGCTAGGCATCGTCATGATGCCTCTGAATCCATATGAGCGGTACGTTCAAACCGACTCCAGTTTTGACGACCTCGCGAACTAAGTCGCCAACATTTCGACAATCTTCACGTGCGACCCAGCACCACACAACAGCACCCCATTCAACACGCCTCTCTCTCACAACTCATAATCTTCCACAGTCGGGCACTTTCTATTTCACTCCAGTATTTCTATCTGTTTTCCTCGCTCAGATTGCACGAGTTAATGGCTGCTGCAGTCTATCCGTTCGTTCCTTACGTTCACATTGCTAACTTATGTTCTTTAATCTGTTCCTACATCCTCCCTCCAGCAGGATAAAAAAGAAACCGTTGTGCTGGACGATTCAGCTGTGAAACTCGCCCAGGCTGCATGAAACTTGCGATGACGCTACTTTTTGACGCTGGTCCGGTTGTGTGCTCATTCAGGTGAGTTTATGTTCCAGGCAAGTACGCTTTGGCTAATGCAAGCACCTATGTTGTTGCAGAATACAAGCGCGCATGACAACGCTTATACCAGCGACTTCCGAGATTATCGTCAAGCCTTCGAGAATATTGTCGCCAAATTTTTAATATCTTCCGGAAGATTTATCGCCAGATTATTGCAAAGTTCATCGCGGTTCCTTCAGGGCCGCCCAGCAGTGCATTTCCAGGCATATTAAGGGCATGACTGATTCGTAGGTGCATCTCTGTTAACCTTTGCTGTGTGGACCTAACTCTGCTGCTTGTGCTACTGGGTGCAGAATCTCTTCCTGGTCGAAATGAGCTACTGTGTTCATTATTGCATGATAATTGTGCTGTGTGTGGATGTTGTATGCGGTATCTAGGATGTTGGGGTTTAATTGGTAAGGCCGACCAAGTATTGTAGTAATGGTTGTTATTGACCTGAGGTTGCGTTGAAATAGAAGTATTGAAATATAAGTACTACCAATACTTACAGTTCCTAGCAGAGAAGATAATTCATGTGTCATGCTTTTACGATTATAATAGTACCTACCAATTTTGCATTTTCTCTTTTTTCGTAATTAGTTTATGATAAGCTGAGTGTACTGTGAAAATTAATCCGTTATTAAAGGCGCCTAAATGATTTGTTTTGCTTGCTGTAGTGAGGATGAGCAATGCTGGTCGTTGGCTGGTGCACTGCTTGCCGAGCCTGGTCAAGATTGCTCATGCAAACCTTTCAATCATTCCTCAAACAAAGCTCAAGCGTGAAGATTGCTCTAGCATTTCACATGATAAACCACGAGCATTGGTGGCAGGAAAAAACATCAAGCAGTCCCCATGAAATGCTTTTGCAGTCTTTTTCCTTCTGAAATTTTGTAGAGGGACGCAGATCATCTCCGCAGCGACGAAATCTGTGAGCGATTTATGAGATTTCTCGAAAATCGGTCACACCGACGAAATCATCATCTACAGTTCGATAGACGAAAACGTGCCGTTGGCGGCGGTGACGTTGAGAGTGTCCTGATGCCTGACAACAGCACGAACCGACTAGCACCGGACCGTACCGTGGGCAACACAGCATAGTACCGTGCCGGAGTAACTCACTGGACCGTGCCGTGCCGGCAACGCGGCATGGCGGTGGTGGGCGGCGCGATGGTGCGCGCGGGGCGCGTGGTGTTCGAGGGGTCCGTCATGCTGGGCTCGCTCGCCGCGCTCTTCGCCACCGGCTGGTGGTTCCTCGTCGCGCGCCTCTACAAGGTGCGCTCGTTATAAGCCGGCCCAGCATGCTGCTTATAGAGCGTATGGCTGGTGCTTCCTCGTCACGCGCCCCCACAAGGTGCGTCCTCATCCGTCCTCATCCGTCCTCATCCGTCCTCATCCGTCCTCATCCCTTCCACCCCATCCCCCAGGACTACGAGGAACAAGTACCTGGCAGTGGAGGTGCTGTTCGCGGCTGTCCGATGTCTGTTGGTCCCCACATTCCCCATCTTCCCCGTCCCCCCTCCTCTCCCCTTCCCCCCCCACCCCCCCCTTCCATCCCCCGGGACTACGAGGAGCAGTACCTAGCAGTGGTGTTGCTCTTTGCGGCTGTCCCTTGTCTGTTGGATGTTACCCCACTCTCATTACCCCACTCTCCCTCCTCCTCTCCCCCACCCCCCCCTTCCATCCCCCAACACTACGAGGAGCAGTATCTGGCGGTCGAGGTACTATTTGCGGCTGTCCACTGTCTGGTGCCTGTCTCCAATTGGTCCCCAGTCTTCCCTCCCCACCCTCCCTCTTCCCCCGTCCCCCAGGACTACGAGGAGCAGTACCTAGCAGTGGAGGTGCTCTGCTCTTCGCGGCTGTCCATTGTCTGTTGCCTGTCTCCCCATCCCCCCATCTTTCTCTTACCCCAACCCCCTCCCCCCCTTGTTCATCCGTCCCCCAGGACTACGAGGAGCAGTACCTGGCGGTGGAGGTGCTGTTCGCGGCTGTCTTCGCGCTCTCCTGCAATCTGCTGCAGCTCGTGCTCTTCGAGATCCTGCCCGTGCTCGGCACCAGGTGGGTTCCTCTCATCCGCACCAGGTTGGTTAGATTCGTTCCCATTGGAAGCAGGCACATCCCCTCCCCATGCCCGGAAAAAGGTAGCTCCTGTTCCCGTGCTCCCGTCTTCTCCTCCCTGTAATCGGCACCAGGTTGGTTGAATTGAATTCTGTCACATGGTCGCCAGGTTAGATTCTATCTCATTCGTACCAGTTAGGTGCCCATGCTCGGCACAATGTACGTGCCGTCCTCAGCACCAGGTCGTTCCTTCCTTCTATCCCTTTGGCTATCTTATCGAGTCCCCATTTGCATTCCTCTGCTCTCATATTCCCCCATTCGCTGCCTCGCTCACTCTCCTGCCCCATGTGTCATCCAATCACCATGCTCCACGTGACACATGTTCCCTGTGGCACATGGCTGCCAGTGCACGGCTGTGGAACCGGCGCTTTGACCTCTTGTCTTGTGTCGTCCACTCACTCTCGCACTTCCACTTACAATCTCTGTGGTCCCCATGACATGCACGTGGCAGTGCGCGGCTATGGAATTGGCGCTTTGACCTCTCGCTGCTGCTTGCGCTGCTGCTCATCGTGCTGCCCTGCTACCACTCCTTCCTCGTGCTCGCTAACATGGGTACGAGGCAGCAATGCTGGTACACGCCATTGCATACACCCACCACACTTATACGCGCCATACGCCTGTGCAGAGCACACGCACACCCATACATGCTGCTCATTGTGCTGCCCTGCTACCACTCCTTCCTCGTCCTCGCCAACACGGGTACGAGTTATTTCCATTCATATCTGTGCGTGGCTTCCCATGGCCGCTCAAGCA